ACCCCAGGTGCCCCGCCGGTTCCCCGGCCCCTCCCCGCAGCGCTCAGGTCCCCACCTTGCCCTGCCTCAGCTCCCCTCCGCGCGGCCCGTGCGGTCTTGACTCCCTTCCCCCCGGGCTTCCGCCCGCCCGGCGCCCTCCCGCAGCGCCCTCCGACTTCCCCAGCCCTCCGCTCTTTCCAGACCCCTTCCCCAGCCGCCTAGCGCCCCCCTTCCCTGCTTCTCCCATGGACTCTCCCTGAAGCCCGCGGTGTGGGTGCCCAGCAGTTCCTCCGGGGCCAGGGTTAGAGGTCTTGTTTCGTTTCGTTTTGCTAATCCCTTCTTTCTCCCATTTTTATGAACCTGTTCTGCCTCCCTATACCGTTCCTTTTCTCTCCGCGCCCCCCCGCCCCCGCATTGTCCTCTNAATCCTTGGAGAGGGAGCAGGTGCTGGGATCCCTCCTCCGCTCCCTCCCCCCCAGGCTGCCTGGGGCTTCACCCAGGGCCTCCCGTAGACTCCCAGGGCTGCTGGGGAGGGGAGGTGGAGACTGGGTGGAGGGAGGAACAACCTGCCCTTGGTGGGGGAGCGCCTTGGCTCTCTCCTCCCTGAGGGCCAGAGGTGTGGCTGAGCCTCATGACTCCCGGCTCCCGCTGGGCTAAGCCTTTAGGGTATCTCGGACTGGCATTCAGTCATTATCAGCCTTCCCCTTGTGTGTGTGTGCGTGTGTGTATGCCTGTGTGTGGCCTGTGTGTGGTGTGTGCGTGTGTGTGCGTGTGCGGCCTTTGTGTCTGGGCTCCAGAGCATGAGGAGGAGACGCTAACGAAGGGGACTGCTGTCACTTGTTTGGGGCCATGCCCCCTCCCCGCCCCGCTGTCAGAAGTACTTGTTGCATTTCAGCTGCACTGAGAGCTTTTTTGCCCCCTGATGTGTAGATGACGACACGGAAGGCCGTGACAGAGTCCCGTACAGCTTCTGAGTGGCTTGGAGCAAGTGCAGGCCCTCCCCACTCTCAGCCTGAGGCAGCATGGTCTGTGGGGCACCATGGGGCCAGACAGAGTGACAGCCCGAGAGCTGTGCGAGAACGACGACCTGGCCACCAGCCTGGTCCTGGACCCCTACCTGGGCTTCCGCACCCATAAGATGAATGTCAGGTGAGGCCATCTGGGGGAGGGTGGACTGAGGGCTGGGATTCCTTCCCTTCCCACACAGCCCCAGTGCGGGCGGGGGGCTTGGCCCGGGAAGGCCCGGAGGGAGTAGGCCGAGGCCCTGGGACCCAGGCATGCCCTCTCCCCCAGCCCTGTGCCCCCCCTGCGGCGACAGCACCACCTGCGCTCAGCGCTGGAGGCTTTCCTGAGGCAGCGGGACCTGGAAGCTGCATACCGGGCCCTGACGCTGGGAGGCTGGATGACCCACTACTTCCAGAGCCGGGGCCCGCGGCAGGAGGCTGCCCTCAAGACCCACGTGAGGGCGCCCTTCCCCACTCACCCGTGTGCTCTCTCCCCTCACCTCAGAGCCCCCTTGGCACTGTGCCCCTCAGCGCAGCCCTCCTGGGGCTCCCTGACCTTCTAGCTATTGGGACCATCTGAGACGGGGCTCAGGGAATCCTAGGAGAGGAGAGTTGGCGGGCCCTCTGAGATGGAGTCCAACCTCTTCATTTGACAGATGAGGAAACTGAGGCCCCGAGAGGGGACGTGAGTTCCCCGAGACCACACAGCGAGTCAGTGGCAGAACAGGACTAGAGCCCAGGAGAGAGAGGGCCGAGGACGACCCTGCCCCGCCACCTCACCCT